ACAAGACCATACGTAGGCTGCTGTCCACCTGGCCCGCCTCCTTCTTCTCCTTCCAAACCACCGCCATCCTGAAAAGAAGGCCCAGCATGTTCGACTCGTTGCCTTCGGCTGCTTGGGTCGGCGGCTCGAAAGTGAGCACGAAATCTCTCTCGGTTCGCATTTGCGAGAGCTCGTCTTCGTGCCTCAAAGACATTCGGGCAAAGAGCCTCATCTGCTCCTGGAGATATCCCATCTCCCTTCGAAGCTTCTTCAGCTCCTCGTTCTGGTACCATGCCGTATCCGACTCCCACTGTCGCCACATCTCGTCCTGTCGTTGACGAGTCCTTTCCCGGGTCCACTGCCGTGGATCCGAGCCCTGCTCCGAGCTCTGCCCTGGATCCTGGCCAGCCTCCTGACTCCCCGTGGGATTGTGTTGGCCTTGCCCTTGTCCCTTGCCCGCCGGCTTGGGAAACTTGAGAGGTCCCGCGCTTGCCCGTGCTGAGGCCTGTGGCATCTCCTCATCCCTCCTTCCTTTAAAAAGAGTATCCACTGCAGCTCCCAGGATGTCGCCCACCTCCTGATCCACCTGCGTGGAAGGAGTCTCCATCGCCTCCAGGTGCTCCATGCTGAGTTTCAGCGGGGGTAGTGAGCCTCAGTGCACGCCAGTGATGCAGCATGAGACAAAGCTGATGTAGCACACGACATCTGTGTCTCCCACGCGGTGCGGCTCCACAAGCTTTACAGGGCCTGGCGTGCCCCTCGCGTAAAGTCAAACTGTGAGCCATAGCATTGTCCCAGTGTAGCATGAGATCTTGACGCACGGCTTTGACATGAAGAACCATGGAACTGGGAGCTTTGGCGACCAACTGATTGCATAGAACACAATGATGCTGCAAAGTGGTGCTCATGTTAGGCAGCTGCAAAATGTTTTTCCACTCGGCCGTGGCAATCAGCCGCTGCACTGAGTCTTGCTCGAACGGGGCACATTCCGAATCATCCTTAGTCTCTGTTCGGAGCTCCGCAGCGGACTGCAAAGCAAGCTCCGTAGACTGAAGCCCCGCAGCGGACTGCAAAGCAGGCTTCTCTGTCTTACTTTCAGAGTGTAATACAACACAACTAGAGACTATGTGAATGCGAAACTGGTGCCACGTTGTAAGAGTACAACCACAGTGTTTGCAGATGGGCATTTGATTGACACAATGGTCCTGAACGCGTAGCCCGTGCAGCCTACTGGCGGAACCCTTCGTGTTTACCTGCAGGCGGCGACCGTGCATACGGGTATGATGTGTACGCATCCCTGCCAGGGTCGCGAAATACTGCCCACACGTAGGACAGGCAACCTCACGCAAACCGGTGGCTTCCTGAAGACCATGTTGCATTGCTAATTGGCTTAACCGCAGCTCCTCTGATCTAATCCGAAACGATGCAGTTACAGAATCAGCTCGTCTAGCAAGAGCGCGTATTCGCCCAGCCATGAGCTTGGCCAAGTAGTCGCCCGGCTGCTGCAACTTTAGTCGATGATACAATTGTACAGTGGTTTCCCGCGTAAGATGCACAGGGCTGCGTGCTATCGCTCTCACATGTTTGACCTCAAATGCATGTAGTTTACGAAGCCCAGCCGCCGTGACCCCAACAGGTAAAAGACCATATAGTGCAGCTGTACGCACACACAGCACGTAGAGTTGGATGCGTTTGCGTAGGGTAAGGTACCTGCAGGCATGCAGCACCTTGATCAATCTCCCACGGGTGCTCTGAGCGACAGCCAGTCTGGCATTCACGGTGGCATCCTCAAAATTGCCATAGGAGATCTGCACTCCCAGATAAGTCATGCTATCTTTGATGGGGATGACTAGCTGCTGATGGGGAGGGCCCAGGACTAATCTTCGACTGCTGGCCGTGCCATGTATGTGCGGAGCCAGAAGTCCTACCCCAAAAGCACCCCGAATGCCTAGCACAACTCCTGATTTCTGAGGATTGACACGCATGCCAAAGGCTTGGTAAACACGAAAGATGACCGGTATGGCATGTAGGGCCTGTTGTAGTGAATCAACAGTGTCAACAATCCAGCTGGCATGTGTGTCGTCTGCATAAAGGGTAAGATGGCTTTGAACCCAAGGCAAGGTAAGCTCTTTGCCAATGCGATGCGTTATATATGCAGAATATACGACCCACAAAAGTGGGGCCAGGGTACAACCTTGCCGGACTCCTCGTCGCATACAGATATGTTGAACCCTGCCTCGGTGCCGAATGCTGTACCTGCATACCTGGTGTAGGTCCAGTATGGCATTTATCAGGACCTCACTTGCACCTGCCCACTGTCGAGCACAACACAGCTGGTCTCTGGGCACCATGTCGAAGGCTGTAGAAAGATCAATGGCCAGTTGTATCCCGCCAACTGCCTGCTTCTGCTTAATTTGGGCACGACGGGTGTGCACATTAGCCGTTTGTCCTCGATGGAGATTGCGGACTTGCCGACAATGATCAATGACTCTGGCAATTGCCGTTTCCGTACTGCGGCCGGGCAAATAAGCATGAAGAGGGTAGGTTTTGAGAGTGTCACCTACCTCTCGAAGCAGTATTTCCTTTAAGATCTTGGCGTAAGCCTTAGCTCCACAATCCTGAAGTCCAAGGGGCCTTAGGTTTTCAGGCCTCTTGGCCGTCTTATGCGGCTTAGGAATGAGGGCTAATGTACAGTCTGCCCAGAGATTGGGAGTGCAGGAGCCGCTCAGACAGGCTGTGGCCTGATCGGCAGCTAGCCTGGAGACAATGTCCGAACAGGCACGAACTGCGCTGGTGGGAGCACTGCTGGGAGGCACAGCCTTGCCCATCTTCAACGAGCAGATCGCCTTCTCAAAGTCTGCAGCCGTAATGTGGTAGTTGGAAGCGCTGCTGCATACTGGAGTTCCCAAGGCATCAGACTGGGACTGGAACAGATCTTGAAAGTAATCAATCATGGTCTGGTGCTCCTGTTGATAAGTGAGCAGTTCCCCCTTCTTGCCATGTATGCGAACCTGTGAGCGCTGAGTCTTAGGAGCAAGGGCACGGATGGTCCTGTGCAACATGCCACGGTCTCCACGAGAAACTGCTTCTCGTGCCTGCGCCAAGTGTTGTTCCAGTATAGCTTTGCGTGCCAACCTGCCACGTCGCTTCAGCTCCTTGTATGCTTTTTGAAAATCTCGGTGCCGAAGCCAGGCCTGAAAACAAGCCCGGAAGCCTTGGAGTGGGGACCTGCTCCGTAGACGTTTGCGAGCTCTCCACATATCCGCCACTGAGAGTCGAACCTCCTCCGTCTGCCACGCGCGCAGTAAGGGTCGCTCCGATTTCTTAGGAAAAACCTTGCACACAGCAGAAAGCAGCAAATCATTGACCTGTTGCAGTGTAGGAGCCTGAAGTTGCAGGAGTCTCTGCTCGAAGTCAACCCGAAGAGCCTGGTATAAGGGGGTCTTGCCACTGACAGCTTCAATGAGTGCCAAAGAATCATAGGAAGGCCTGGTTGTAGTGGGGGCCCTGCTCGAAGCTCGATGCCAGCCAGGGTGCAAGGGCAAGGTGGCCTGCACAGGGAAATGCTTGCCTCCCATTCTCCACGGACTGAAAGTAAGTCCCGGCATAGGCAGCGACCTGCGGGCAGGTAGGTCTGCATGTCCGCGCCTGGTAATGACAAAGTCAATGATGGATTGTGCTTGGCGCCAGCAAAAGTATCCAGTGATCTTCGTCTAGACAGGTATTGAGCACTATCAGCTGGTTGGCTTCCAAGACCGTGGAAAATTCAGCCGCATCAGCATACAACTCAGCCCGCGACAGCTCGTAGCCGGTGTGGCCTTGCACATGTTTCGGCGTACAATTGAAATCACCAAGCAGCACAAGCATGTTACGTCTGGCCAAGCCCTGCACGGTCGTGTTGAGTTTATCCCACAGCTGATGACGTTTGGAGAGGTTGTTCCCGGAGGAGTCCTGCTGATAGGCATGCTGGTAAATGTTGAGGACATCTATGTTGTATTCATCTCGGGAGATCCGTACATGTAGCAATCGACCCACAGCCAGCTCCTGTTGATGAAGCTCTGCCCCCTGCACAAGGTCCCGTCTCACCAACGTTGCTAGCCCCTGAAATCGCGTATGGCCGTCTATGCTGGTAACGAAGCGCCAGCCTGCTGAATGCCACTGCGAGGATTGCTTTCCCAAACCGTGATGTATTTCCTGCAGCGCTATAACATCGTACTGCGCATCAGGCATGAAGCAATCAAAAGTCACTGCATCCATGCCCCCAACATTCAAGCTGAGTACACGAAGCCTGGGGCGTACCCGGAAGGCCGGACGAGGTCGCACTGCAGAAGTAGATGATCTCCTGTTAGGAGCGTGTGTGGCCGCTGAAGCCTGTGAATGCAGGACACGGCCTCTGTACATAGTGGTGCCACTTGGTGCTCGCTGAGCCCTACGCAATGCCCTAGCATATGCATGCTTGCGAACTCTCTGCCTGCCTGTAGATGTAGTTGCTGTGATCGTAGAAAATTGTGTCGCGGTATTCCCGCCTAAATGTTCGCCACTAAGGACTTCAGAGACTGGGTGGGAATCAGCCTCAACCCTCGCATCTGTGCCGGTAACTGTTGGTAACATAAAAGAAAATAACAAGAAAAGGCATATGAAATTCAAGCTGGTTCGCATGCGTCCGACACCCTGGGATTTGGGACCCAGGCGGCTCCTGTTCGAGAGTGTGGTGGATGGCAACCTGGGGCACGGTTTACGCCGATCCAAGATCAAAGTTCGTACCATTCTGTGATGCCAAGACCATGTAGAGGGGGTAGGCTCGGCTGTAGCTTGATACCAGCCTGTCAATGGCATGATTCCACTGTAGCCAGCACGTAGACTGCATCCAAACCACAAGCTGAGCACGCTGCCAAGGAAACCGCGTGCCGCCAAAACCTGGCCCACCTGGCAAACAAAACCAAACAGCCAGTTGTTCCAGAGTGCAATGTTGCACAGTATCCCCCAGAAAGCCTGTTATCCAGTGAGGCCTAGTCTTTGGTGCCTTTGGCGTAGCCGAAGTCGAGGGTATTGAGGAAGCTATCCTCCGAGCTTTCCTCTGCTGAACCTGAAGTAAGCTCCGGCCGAAAGTCCGGGTCGTCCAGCTCGAGATCAAGGCGCCTAGCATCAGCAGCACCGGCTGCTCCTTCCACCATACCGTGGTCTTCGCCTGTGGCGGTTGCAGCTGCAGAGTTCGTCTCCATGGGCGGGTCGTCCTCAAAACCATGTTCTGATTCCTCCGCTTCCTCAGCTGCCCACGGTGGAGGGGATATGTAAAGGTGGGCCGGTATATCACAGGCTGCCGCAGGAACTTCCGTGGGAGCTGTAGGCACCGCTCCGGGTGTAAGATTCGAATCTTCCTGCTCCTCATCCATACTACTCGCTGCAGATGCAGTCTCCGTCGGCGCTCCCTCCGCCTCCTCGTTGCTGATATCACTAAGGCCACCTGGGTTCAGGTTGATTTCAACGCCAGGCGGAGGTGGTGGACCCTTAGGATGAAAGACCGGTTGGAGGTGGGCTTGCCTCGTTGGCCGAACACTCGACAGTTATATCTTCTGTTGTAGTTGTACGGCTCCGGCGGCGCAACGCTGGGTCTGGGGCGCCTCTCAGCCATATAAGTGGCAGTAGCATCCTCCGCAGCCTGAGGCTCCTCCTTGTCCTCAACCTCCGCGGCACCTTCCTTGCCATCCATGCTGCTGGCTTACTCACTTCAAAGTTCCGTAAATTCCAGAAATGCCAGAAAAGCTGCAGACATGGAAACAGCCCAGTTACCCAAAACAGCTCGGAACTGAAAAGAAGCAAGATGTATGCGCAAAGTTGAGCCAGGGTCACCGTGAGCAGAGTTGGCCATGTCGGCTTGTGGAGCTGCAATCGGTAGGACCCTCGCAGCCAGCGTTGCAAAACATACATAGAATCAGTCCATTGACTCCAAGGATCCCCTGCAGCTATATGCATAAACAGAACCCAGCATGTCCAGCGCAAACTCAGGATATACCAGAGACACTTCCACGTACAGCTTAATCCGCTCAGGTCCCGGCAGTAGTTCCCAAACTGCAATCCATATGCAGTAGGCCGACATTGGACACCATGCAATTGCAAAGGCATCATACATGCTTTGTCTAGAATCCTGGGACAGCTGAAGTCCTTCCCTCCATACCTGTAACAGCATTCCCAAAGAAGTGTAGTAAACATGTCTATGCAATGCGTCCTCTTGCATGCTCCATTGCCGCGGGACCTTGTTGCAGCCATGCAGAGCAACGGGTTCCATATCCATGGCACTTGCCATGGCATGCGGTCCCTTAACCAAGGCCAGGCCAAGAAGGCACCCCCAAAACAAACTGGCAAACCACAGAGCCCCAGCCACCCTGAACTAGCGGGCAGCAAAGCGTAGAGCCGAGATGCTTACCCTAAAGCCCTAAACACTAAGCCCTAAACCCTAAACCCTAAAGCCCTAAACCCTGAACCCATGAAGCTCCAAGTACAGCACCCCTCGGTTGCGGGCAAAGCGCCTGGATACTTCTCGCCCGCCCACAGGTCCACGACCTTGCGGCCTGAATCTCAGGGTCTACGGCTTTAGGGCTTTAGGGTTTAGGGCTTTAGGGCTTTAGGGCTTTAACGCTTTAAGCCTTGAGGGTTTACTGCCTTAGGGTTCAAGGCTTTAGGTTTAGGGTTTTAGAGCTTTAGGGTGTGGGATTTAGGGTCCAGAGTTTAGGATTTTTTCTGTGAGGGTGTTCGAGGTTGGTAAAGGTCTTGATGTTCCTTAGCCTCTGGAACGCCAAGTCCTGTTGAGTACTGAGAAATTAGGGTTTAGGGTTTAGGGTTAATCATCACCTCTTTCCGCGTTGCCACGTTCACAGTGGCGACAGGCTACACTACTGTTAAAACTAGTTCCGCTGCTGGCACCATGCTCCTAGCTAGAATCCCTACTTAAGGATCATGGGACTTAGTAAGTAGGGCTACAACTAACCCTAAACCCTAAACCCTAAACCCTAAACCCTAAACCCTAAACCCTAAACCCTAAACCCTAAACCCTAAGCCCTAAACTTATAACCTCGATTGGGGGACTCCGGGACTTATAACCTTACTTACGAAGTCCCATGACCCTCCAGGTAGTTGGAGCCAGCTGGGTCGGGCTTCGTGCAGGTCCCTGAGTCTCCAGGATGAGGATTCTTGGGTTTGGGGCTTTGGGTTTAGGGCTTCGGACGAGTTTAGGGTTCTTGTCTTAAGCTGGCCTTGGTGGTAGACGCACACCGCCCCGCCGCGCTCCAAGTTCTCTCGGAAATTCTCGGCAAAGCGGGCGCGAACGCACTCCCAGTCGGGATGGCAGAAGCCCTCAATCGCCGGAACTTCGGGCAGCCCCTCGGGACAGTACCTTGCGAAGAGCACTTTTCGCAACCATCGCAAGTGTTCATCCCAAACTATATCCCCTAAACCCTTAGCCCTAAACCCTAAACCCTAAACCCTAAATCCTAAACCTTAAACCCTGAAGCTGCCACAGGTTGCTTACGATATACCCTGTGTTCACATGGAAAGTAACCAAAACCCCAAAGACAAGACCTGGACCCGAAATGAAAAAGGCCAAGGCCGCGTCAAACTAGAAAACAAAAAACAGAAAAACACGAATACAGGGGACTCAAAAAATTGGAATAGGGTTTTGGTGTATAGCTTTGCAGAGCTTTGCAGAACTATGATCGGGCTTCCATGTTCAACCTTTTGTGAGAGCTCCGAGGAGCCGTGGGTAAAGCGCCGGGAAGGACTGGCCATGGGTGTGCGACGACTGAGCAGGAGGCATGCCTGCAGCCCTCACCAGAGACGCCAAAACCCCTTAGTCAAGGAACATACCCTAAACCCTAAACCCTAAAGCCTGAACCCTAAACCCTGCATAAGTTATAATAGGAACCCTAATATGATAAAAAGTATATTCCTCAAACAAGGGGTTTGGGAGTCTCTGGGTCAGACACAGACCCGCTTTAGAGATCCTGCAAACCTCACGGCTGCCGAATGTCGGGCGAAGGGCTGCAGGGTTGCTTTGAGGGACTTGACTTCTTCGCCGGCTTGTATGCACAATTGTCTGCTTGCATACAAGAAGACAAAAAAGTGCACCCACATGCGTACAAAGTCGACAAATCTACATGCACATGCACATATGTATGCGTGCATGTATGTTTGCATGAAGGCCGGCTTGCACGTATGTAGGCGTGCATGTTCGAATAGAAGAATGCATGTATGTTTGTATGCAGGAATGCAGTATACACGTGTGACTACACGTTCCTGTCTGCGTACCTATGTACAGTTCCCCATTCGCCAACTCGCTCGCTGAGGAGCAGGTTTTGGAGTTAAGTTGGTTATTTCGATGCATATGCCACTTGGTTTGCCGGCTGGGAAGGCCAGAATGCTTAATACAGCCAGTGCTCGAATCTATTGGCTGGATGTCGTACCATCAACGACCTACAATCCAGCGTCTCATGTGTTTGATGCCTTGAAGCTGCGATAACCGATGCAAACTTAAAAAAAAAACTCCGTCAAAGGAGCATAAGCTGAAAGGGATATGCCAGGCCTGAGCAATTCGAGTCTAAGTCCTCAGGGCTTTGGTGGTATATTACAGTACCATTCTGATACGGTATAGGATTTAGGGTTTAGGGTTTCTGATACGGTGCCCCAAGGAAGAGTAGTGGTAACTATTCAGCTAGCTTTCCTCGGTGCTCTGGCCAGGCTCTGCGTGCGATTCTGCAGATTTGGAATCCTCTGGACTCCAACGAAAGGAGGGCGTGGGGGGTCCCCTGAACCCTAAAAGCCTAAACCCGAAACCCTAAACCCCAAACCCGAGACCCCCTAAATCCTAGACCCCAGCCGCCCTCCGCCTTGTCTTAAGGCTCCGAACAAAGGAGCCCAAAACCCTATTCAAACTATCAAGGCCCCTACATTAGGTAGTTGGGCAGTTTTCTAAATTAGGGTTCCTTTTTAGGGTCCGTTTCATAAGGGTGCCGTACTATATTGAGGACCTAAAAAGGGACACTAATTTAGAGAACTACCCATATGGGTAGTTGAAAAAATTATGGTCCCTTTTGGGGCACCCTAAATAATAGGTGCCGTATTATAATAAGGACCCAAAAAGGGACCATAATTTTGACAACCACCCATATAGAAGCCGAAATAATGACCAGCATTCTTCCCTAAGGATGCCGTACTATGTTTGGGATCTAAAAAGGGACCATTTTTTTTGAGAACTACCCATTTGGGGGTTTCCGAAAATACGGGACCCTAATATAGTGCCCTAAATAGTAGGATCCTTATTATAAGGACCCCCAAATCAGGTACCCCTTATTTTCGG